GGTCAGAATGGCAGAAGTAACATTGCAACAAATGGAACAACAGCATAGCACATAAGGAGACTGTGGGAAGAATCCACACTCAGCACAGTGACTAGAGAACTGCTGTGTTATAGGGAAAGAAGCTAAACTAGATATAGTTTTTAGGAGACAAGGCAGGTCCACAAACAGAAACAGGATCTACTTTGTCTCTCCTGGTCACAGGAAGGAGAAGGCTAGGCTTGTGTAAAGTCACAGTATCAATCACAAAGATATGGTGGGGGACTGACATAGAACAGAGGAACATGATCAAAGTACAATATAGGTATGTATGGAAATGTATCATGCAATTGCTTATGAGAATGTATATAAAAATTATCCCGAGATAACTTATACTCAAAATGATAAACATGATATGTATTCACTCACAAGTGGATACTAGATGCAAAGCAAAGGTTAACCAGATTACAACCCACAGCTCCAGAGAAGCTAGCTAACAATGAAGATGCCAAGAGAGACACATAGATAGCCCAACAAAGGAGAAATAGATAAGATCTACATGAGCAAACTGGGGTGAGGTGGGGTAATGGAGGGCAAGGAATGGAGGATGAGAACATAAGGGAATGGGGGGGTTTGAGCTGGAAAAAGGACAGAGTGGGAGAGCAAGGAAAGAGATAACATAATAAAAGAAGACATCATTGGAATACAGAGAAACAGGGTGCTAGAGAAGTTCTCAGGAGTCCACAAGGATGACCCCACCTTAGATTATTAGCAATAGTCAAGAGGGTGCCTGAACTGTCCTACTCCAGTAATCAGAACAGTGAATACCCTAACTGTCATCATAGAGCCTCCATGCAGTAACTGATAGAAGCCGATGCAGATATCCACAATCAAGGCCAGTCCAAGGTCCAGGGGTCCAATCAGTGAGAGAGAGGAGGGATTCTATGAGCAAGTGACATTGAGAACACGATGGAAAAACATACAGAGACAACTAGCCAAACTAGAGGACACATGAACTGTGGACCAATAGCTGAGGAGCCCCCATGGGACGGGAATAAGCTCTCTGGATAGGCGAGACTGTTGTTTAGCTTGAACTGGCTAGGGGGGCCCCAGGCAGTGTGATTGGGATCCATGCCTGGTGCATAAGCAGGCTTTTGGAACTCAGTGCCTATGGTGGGACACCTTGTGCAGACTTAGTGCAGGGAGAGGGTCTTGGACCTGCCTCAATGAATGTACCAGGCTATGCTGACTCCCCATGGGGGACCTTGCCTTGGAGGAGGTGGGAATGGGGTGTGGGTTGGGAGGAAGGCTTGGGAGTGGGAGGAGGGAGGATGGGGAAATCTGTGGTTGGTATGTAAAATGAAAAGAAAATTTCATAGTAATAAAAATAAAATGGAATTCTCAAAGAACAAAAAATTAAATGTTTCTTCAAAAGTATTTACACATTAAAAAAAGAAAATAACCAAAATTTAAATATAATCTAATTGAGTCTTGTTATCCCATGTTTAGTTGATATCCCTTGGGGCCTGCTCTTTTCTCAAGGAAAACTGAAGAGCAGTGGATCAGGTGGAG